TTGCCAGTTCGATCCCCGAGCCGGGGGTGAATTTGGGAGGCAACAGATCAATGTTTCTTTCTCTCCCTTCCTTCCTCTCTTAAAAAAACATATCTTCAGGTGAAGATTAAAATATACTAAAAAAAGAAAAAAGAAAAGAAAAAGAACAAAAAACAATAAAACAATGTACTGCCCTGGCCCATGTGACTCAATTGGTTTAGAGTTCAATTCCCAGTTAGGGCACAGGCCTGATGTAAGTCTTGATCTGTGTGTGGTGGGGGGAGGGGGAGGAAGGGGATTTGAGGCAGCCTATGGATGTTCTGCTCTCATGTCAATGTTTCTCTCTCACTCCCTTCCTCTCTCTGTCAAATCAACAAACAAACATAAAAAAAGAAAAATTAACGACTACTTCCTTTTAAAAATTTTTTGATTGATTGATTTGAGAGAGAGAAAGAGGAAAGGGGGAGAGAAACATTAATTTGATGTCCACCTATTTATGCATTAATTGGTTGATTCTATTTTTTAAAATGTTTTTTTTTTTATATTTTATTGATTTTTTACAGAGAGGAAGGGAGAGAGATAGAGAGCTAGAAACATCGATGAGAGAGAAACATCGATCAGCTGCCTCCAGCGCACCTCCCACTGGGGATGTGCCCGCAACCCAGGCACATGCCCTTGACCGGAATCGAACCCGGGACCCTTCAGTCCCGAGGCCGACGCTCTATCCACTGAGCCAAACCGGCTTTGGCTAAAATGTTTTTATTGATTTCGGAGAGGAAGGTAGAAGGGGAGAGAGATAGAAACATCAATGATGAAAGAAAATCATTGATTGGCTGCCTTCTGCATGCCACACACTGGGGATCAAGCCTGCAGCCTGGGTATGTGCCCTTGACTGGAGTTGAACCTGGGACCCTTCAGTCTGCAGGCTGATGCTCTATTCACTGAGCCAAACCAGCTAGGGCAAGGCAACTCTTATGGAGGGCAATTTTGGTACTGTGTCTTAAAATTACAAATGCGTTTTAACTGTTTTTACAGAAATTCTTCCTATACACTTGGACAGATGCAAACTAAGCTATATAAGGTCATTACAGAATAGCTTGTGGTAGCTAAAGATTGGAAACAAGCACTCTCAGTTCACCAGCACCCTACAGTTCAGTAAATTGATACATACACTGGTATGGTAGGCAGCCATAAACACCTTTTAACATATATTTTTAATTTTTTTGAAACATGTGTCAGGGACATTGGTGCTATATATATGCTGTGCTTGCTTCAAATAAAAATTTATAAAAGACCAAAATAAAGCAAACTATGACATTCAAAGAAATAATTAGGAAGGATAGCACAGAATGCAAGGATATGGGTAGTCTATAAGAAAGCTCCCTTAGCCAAACACTCTCACAAGACTGAAGCCCTGAAAAACGGGAATTAAAATGAAGGCAAGGCCAAATTTGCAGCTGACTTCCATTGCCAAGAATGATCCAGTAGAGCACACCCTACCCCCCCCCCCCCCCCCCCGTTTGTAGGGTGTGGCCATCTGGATCCGGGACCGCCTCTTTATAGTATAATTGGAAAAGTTGAGGGTAGCAACAGTTCGACTTTATGACTTTCCTTTGAGCTCATTATCAGGATTATTTAGGTTCCCTAGTGGCTGGCAGAGGAAGCCCAAATGTCCAAATTTGATAGTAACAGAGAGACCACAGGAAGAGGATGTGAACCAACCCTATGCTAAATCTACCAGGTTCTCGACCCCCACCCCAGCCCACCACCCTCAAAATCAGTAAGACGGTGTTGAGATAAGTGGATTATAAAAGACATAGGGGTCTGTACTAGGGAGATGATAGTGACAATGTTAAAGGAAGAAATAAATCTCTAAGTCTTCAAACTTTTGTAAGAGGTCTAATTTTTTTAAGATGCCATTATTGTGTGTGTGTGTGTGTGTGTGTGAAAATAACTATTTAAAAAAATATTGACAAGGATGACATTGTTTTATATATATATATATATATACTAGAGGCCTGGTGCATGAAATTCATGCGGGGGGTGGGGGTGGGGGGGGCGGTGTTCCTTAGCCCGGCCTGCACCCTCTCCAATCTGGGACCCCTTGGGCCTAAACTGGCAGTTAGACATCCCTCTCACAATCCGGGACTGCTGGCTCCTAACTGCTCACCTGCCTGATTGCCCCTAACTGCTGCCTGCCAGTCTGATTGCCCCCTAACTGATACCTGCTGGCCTGATTGACACCTAACTGTTCCCCTGCCAGCCTGATCATCCCCAACTGCCCTCCCCTGCCAGCTTGATTGCCCCCAACTTCCCTCCCCTGCTGTCCTGTTTGCCCCCAACTGACTGCCCTCCCCTGCTGGTCTGATCGCCCACAACTGCCCTCCCCTGCCAGCCATCTTGTGGTGGCCATCTTGTGATGACATGAGGGCAGCCATCTTGTGACGACTTCGCGCGTGATGCCACCTAGGCTTTTATTACATAGGATATTTATATATTCATATATATATATACTTAAAATTTTAAAATATATTTTTATTGATTTCAAAGAGAAGGGGAGAGGGAGAGAGAAACATCAATGATGAGAATCATTGATTGGCTGCCTCCTGCATGCCCCCTTACTAGGGATCAAGCCTGCAACCCAGACATGTGCCCCAACCAGAATCGAACTGTGACCTCCTAGTTCATAGGTCAATGCTCCACCACTGAGCTACACTGGCTGGGCTGTTTTATATATTTTTAAATTCACTTAATGCTTACTTAATACAGGACAGCTGGATTTTCCTACCTACTTTTGCATTCAATCTTTTATGACATCACATATCATGCAGATTCTGAAAAACTCCACTGAGAAAATCAGAGTGCAAAAGGTATTGTTTTACTTTTGTTATGAAAATTATTTTTGTCTTGAGCAGTTTCTGGAGCATACTTTGAGAATCATGACTCTATCCTTAGGAATATATAGGGAGTTTTCAAAACCCTCTATGGGAATCTCATTTCCCAAATTTTCTTAAGTTTTTTGGTCCACCTCTTGTTTGCTTCAACTGTTATTGTTCTTAGGCAGCTATGGTGTTATGTTAGACAATAGCCAAGAATTTTATTTATTTATTTTAACAGAAGCACTAGAGATAGGGCTTATATCACTGAATGAGCTCTCAGTTAGATCTAATAAAGACAAGTGCTGTGAATGGGGCTTTTCTAGGGAGCTGCAAGACAAATCAAATAATGACAATTCTCTGAAGATGAGGCTGTCTGAGAGTCTCAAATCCATTTCCATCCTTCCAGCGGTTGCTATACTGCTGGTTTCCACAGCCAACATGGTTGCAAGGTAAGATGCCATTTTTTCAATTGAAGAACTAGCTGTAAGAAAGAGGGTTTTTTTTTTTTTTTTTTTTTTTGGTTTGTTTTAGAATTGGGAGCTGTCATTTTGGACAAGCTATTTAAAACCCTACTGTCAATCTTCCATCCTAAGAGATCCCATCCCTCTGAAAGGAAATGCTTCCATATTCCTCCTAAAAAAGGCAAAGCAGAACAAAACTTGAAAATTGTTTCTTTTGCTCCCTGAGACAGAAGGACCATTGTCTTCCTACTTTTGGCCCATTGACCTCCACAGGACGTCCTGGACCTGGATTCCAGATGCGGAAAGTGGGTGGGTAGATTGACGCACGTGGCAAACAGCGTAAATTAGGAATCTGGGGGTGGGGCAGGGCTGTACCTCAAGACTCTATAGAGTTTTTACTTCTCAACACCTCATCATTTCCATTCTAAATAGCAAAGAAATTACAGTTAAACTTAATTAGGGGTATGTAATAAAGGGACAAGTTTCTCACTAAACGTTCTCCTTTTCCTTGCCCTCCCTGTACGGACTCGGAAGACCATCTGAGCTTCTCGCCCAGAAAAGGTTTCTATGCAGGGAATGAGGTCTAGGATTTGCGTGTGAAATAGGGTGGCATTTGCCAGGCCGAGCCCCTTTCCCCCTGATTTCTGGCCGTTTAGGTCAAGAATGGGGTGCGTGAACATGGCTGGTGGCTGCTGGGCTGGACCACTGGCCCCGGACCAGACCGAGCCGCAGAGGCTCGGCTAACGGGAGCGGACAGGTGTGCTCGGAGCGGAGGCGGCGGGAAGGTGCTGGACGCGCGGGCTCAGCCCTCAGAACCCGGCGCCGGGGGCGTGCGCGGCCCACGCGGTCGGAGGACTTGACAGATCGCGGAGAAAAGAAAACAAAAAACCAAACCAAAGCCCAGCGGCTGCCCCACGTTTCTTTGCAAAGAAATCGTGGGTGGAGCTCCGAGCCGGACGAGGCAGTAGAATTCCGTGAGGCCGCCTCCGCCCACCCAGCGCCCCCGGACCGCGGCGCCTCCCCCGGCCGGCTTCACCCCGCTTAGGGCCCGGAGAGGGAGTCGAGGCAAAGCGAGCGACTCGTCCTTCTGGTACTTCCCGGCTTCGCTCCTCAGTAGTAAACAAAGTGTGGCCGCCGCCTCCACGCTGGTTTGCCTCCTAGCAATCAAACACTCAGAGGGCGAGAGGCTCACAGAAACACTTGAGAATTACCAGAAAATAACATTAAAGAGAGAGAGAAGGGAAGAGAGGCAAGAGAGAGAAGAGGGAGGCGAGGAGAGAGGGAAGAGAGAGGGAGGAAGGGGGCGAGAGAGAAAAGAGAGGGGAAAGGGAGAAGGAGAAAAGGGAGGAGGAAAGAGAAGAGCCGGGGGGGGGGGGGGGAGAGGGAAGGGAGGGGGGGGGAGAGAGAGAGAGAGAGAGAGAGAGAGAGAGAGAGAGAGAGAGAGAGAGAGAGAGAGAGAGAGAGAGAGAGAGAGAGAGAGAAGAGAAGAGGAGAGGAGAGGAGAGGAGAGAGAGACACCCCATTACCCCCTACCAACCCACTGCCACCTCCCGGAGGAAAACAGGCCCCTCCCAGGCCGACATCCACTGGCTGCCCCGGTGGCGGTGCTGCGTGCTCATTGGCCGCCCGAGCTGTCAGTCAGGGGCGGGCCGGCGCGCGCGTCGCAGCGGGAGGGGGTGGCGGCAGATCCCGTAAGTCGGGCGGCCGCGTAGTCGCTGTAGCCTCCGCTGCCGCAGCCACATTCAACAGGCAGCAGCGCCGTGGTCGCGCCGCCGAGGAGAGCGAGCAGCCCGCGGCGCCCGTCAGTTGTCCAGTCCGCGGGCTTTGTCAGCAGGAGCGCGGCGCCGGTGCTGCCCGAGCCCGGCGACTCTGGCCTGCCGTCCCGTCGGTGCAGCGGACCCGGAGGAGTCTAGTTGTTGATGGACTCGTGAAGTTAAGTTCTGGGCTCGCGCTTCCACTTCGCTGCGCCTTTCTCGCGGTTTCCGTCCGCTCGCGGCACCGACCTCGCCCCCAATCTCGGACCAGCTCTTCGCGCCCCTCCCCCCTGGACCCCGGTCCTGCGCTCTACCCCTTCTTGGTTCTCCCCGGCTGGGGGAGGGGCGGGGGTCACCATGGCCGAAGCGCCCCAGGTGGTGGAGATTGATCCGGACTTCGAGCCGCTGCCGCGGCCACGTTCGTGCACCTGGCCGCTGCCCAGGCCGGAATTTAGCCAGTCCAACTCGGCCACCTCCAGCCCGGCGCCGTCGGGCAGCGCGGCCGCGAGCTCCGACGCCGCCGCGGGCCTGCCCTCGGCGGCCGCTGTCAACGCCGACTTCATGAGCAACCTGAGCCTGCTGGAGGAGAGCGGGGACTTCCAGCAGGCGCCTGGCTCTGTGGCGGCGGCCGCGGCGGCGGCCGCGGTGGCGGCGGCGGCCGCCGCAGCGGCTGCCACCGGGGGGCTGTGCGGGGACTTCCAGGGCCCGGAGGCGGGCTGCCTACACCCGGGGCCGCCGCAGCCCCCGCCTCCCGGGCCGCTGTCTCAGCACCCGCCTGTGCCCCCCGCCGCTGCCGGGCCGCTGGCTGGGCAGCCGCGCAAGAGCAGCTCGTCCCGGCGCAACGCGTGGGGCAACTTGTCCTACGCGGACCTCATCACCAAAGCCATCGAGAGCTCGGCCGAGAAGCGGCTCACGCTGTCGCAGATCTACGAGTGGATGGTCAAGAGTGTGCCCTACTTCAAGGATAAGGGCGACAGCAACAGTTCGGCGGGCTGGAAGGTGAGTGGCCTTAGGACGCACAGCAGGACCCGGAGATGGGGCACGAAGCCCCCTACCTCGCCCGAGGTCGCGGTGGGCGGATAAGGCGGTTGTGCATGTTTGCATGTCCTGAAAGTGCAGGGCGCGCGTGCTGGGAGCGGATGAAAATTGGCAGATGTGGGTGGTGGACTTGCTCGGGGCCAGTGGGGGCACAGGTATAAGAGTTCGCGCGCTCAAGTGAGGGTAGGATGGAACGGGGAGCGGGCTCGTTTAAGGGAGTGAGAAAAGTATGCCAAGAAGTGGACATCAAAGCAGGGGTAAAAGTTTGCCAGTGAAAGGAGAAGGGGGTTCACTGGGAGCTGCTCCCTCACCCACAGCCCGTGCGGACTTTTGGGGCTGCTCTTTCACCTCTAGAATCTCGGGGACGAGGACGGCTCCTTACGGACCTCCTAGCCTTGGGCCGTACTGGGAGCGGTTTCCGCTGCGCTGGGCGGGTATGGGCGCGGCGAGGGGCTTCGGAGCCCCGCCAGCAGGTGGAGGGGGGAGAGGCAGGGCGCGAGCCTGCTTATGGGGGTTGGCCCCACAGTTTTTGGAGGACGGTGTGCATTTTGCTTTGTTTTGATTTTATCCGAAGGGGCCTTGAGTACAGGGAACCGGGCGTGTCGAGCTTGCGGTAGCGCATCCGACGAGTGCAATGTGGTGGGCACAGCCTGAGAAGCCGTGGTGCCGGGCTGCGTGAGGCGAGTTAAAGTTCAAGTGTGACCCTCGGCGGGGGCGGAGGCGGGAGCAGGCGACAGCCAGGGAGGGGCCGAGGGTGCAGGAAGCGAGAACCTTTAAAGGGCCAGCGCGGCTTTTGGCCCGGCCGCGGAATAGCGCGGCCAGCACTTCTCTAGCAAGGAAGTGCCCGCACACTTCGATTAGCCTTTAAATGGGCCCCAAGAGGCTCCCCTGGGTATCCTGGGCTGGGGGCCTGTAGACCTTTTCTCTCGCTTTGCCACCTCAGTTACCACCAAGCACGGAGGTACAGATCCGAGGGCCTCATCCTGACTGTGCAGGCACCATAAGAAAGATAATCATAATCTTTATATATAGCATAATCCTTGCTGCGCAATTGTTACACCAAGGTTGTTTTATGTGCACTGTCATCCCCATGGTTATTGTGTGTCAAAAAGGTTACGTTATTTACATCGTGTTGAAGTTCCTGGGGAAGGAAACAGGATTTTTTTTCCAGTGTGTTTTAGAGTAAAATTATCACTTACAACTTTATTATTAGGTACCCATGCAACTTAACAAGTGTTTCAAAAAGGTAAAGTGCCTCCTTAGGAGGTTTACATTGTGAGTACGTGAAACACAGAGTTTACTCTTGTATTATTATTTATTATATTATTTTCCATATGAACAACTGTAAGCCTACTTTACCCCACCCTGTATTCTTTTAAGTCACAAAGTCATAATTGTCTGCCAAGTCCAATTTTACTTAACGTTTGAATTTAACTACTTATTTTACTTGCTCATCTATCCATACTACTTGAGCTATGATAAAGCATTTGCCATTAAATTTTTTATTTTATTTTTTACCATTTAAAGTACAGGGTATACTTACACCATTCTTTTATGTCCTTGGAAATGGGTACATCCTACTTAAACTTGCTGGAATGCCTTTCTTTAAAGGTAGAGAAAGGCAAAGTTTTAGGATTATTTTTAGTTTTGCCTCTCAAATGGCTTTAAGTCGGTATTATTCTTAAACTAGGAATATAACTTAAAGTTTTAAGATTTAGTGCTTAGTAAAAAAATACAGATAATAAAGCCAAAACATCTGCCAACCATTTTATTAGATTCTTACTTGTTCTAATTTTTTTCTCAAATGCAATTATAATTTTATTATTTTTAAGAATTTACTTACCCAAGGTAGCAGGTCTATTAAGTATTAGTTAGGATTATCTGTCTAGACGTGGAGGCCCAGTAGCAGGACCTAGTAGAAACCTAGTGGGGCTTTGGGATGAAGTGCTTCAGGTGTAATCAAGAGTCAGTTGGTGCAAGTCAGATTACAGCAAGTGCGTTTTCACTTTGAGTAAATGGGTATTTTAAGAAGAAAAGAAACAACACGAGGTGTTCTAGCTCATAACTAAGTCTTCTGGTTAGTTTTCATAAAAATGAGTTACTTGTTAAAACCAAGTTTCACTCAGATCTGAAAGATTTTCCTGTTTTAAAGAATCATAAAAGGAAGAAATTCAGTTGTAAAATGCTAATCAACCCAAACGTAACTGCTTTAGAACTGAAGAGAGGCTGCTTAGGAACACTTAAATATTTACTGTGATGGTACTATTAGGAATTAGACTGAATGTTTAGTTAAATATAGTTTCTTGTGTTTTACCTCTTACGGCCTGCCTGAGAATTTGAGTCATTTGCATGGACAAAGTTCTTGGGAAACTGTTAAAGGGCTCAAAAACTTCTAGTTCCTTAAATACTGGTTATGTTTTTGGGACATGAATTTTGTATTTGTAGGGATGGTACCTTAAATCTACTTTACACTTGTTTAACATTTATTATAACTGTCATAAGTTGACACATAAAGTAGAAGCTAAAGTTTTTGGAAAACTCAAGATCTTTTAAACCATGTACAGTATTTATAAATAGTGAAACTTCTTTCCCATGACCTATTTTTTTTTTTTTTTCAAATAGAAAGCTGTCAGAGTTTGGGAAGTAATATTGTGAGTTCTGACTTTTTTTTTTTTTTTTTTTTTTTTTGGTAAATGGTAATTTTGAGTTGGCTCTTGTTTTTTGTTTTGGTATTATTTGCAACACTTAATTTAGGTGAAAAGAATGCTTCAAGACTCAACACATATAAAAAATTTAAATTGTTTTATTACTAAGTAGCTCAGATACTCTTTATTTTGGAATGAAGTTTCTTTAATAGGTCTGTGAACTGAGAGTACATTTTCTTGCATTTTAAAATTAATATCTATTCTGTAATTTGTATTTTTAAGCTGTAGGTGAGCAATTTAACTAGTTACAGAGATCCCTTGGCAGGAAGATGGCTGCTTTTTTGCTGCACAGTTACATTTGACTTAAATAATCCTGGTGAAGCCAACTTCTAGTTTGTTTGTTACTGAAATTACCTTAAGGAAAACCCTTTTTTACAGTTAGGTGAAAATTGCAATATATGTATTTCAAGAAAGCATGAGGAAAGAGAATTAAAAGTGGGTAATGATCATGCAGCCAAGTATATATTATTTGCTAAAGATTGAAAATTGTGTGAGACTGATGTGAACATGAACATGTCTTATGATAACTTATTTTGTTCAGAAATTCTAAAATAGATGCCAAGACTCGTAAGAACTTTATTTTTATTTTGCCTATGTTTTTGTGGCAAAAAGGGGAGATGTGACGGGAGGGGCTTCTATTTTTGAATGATACTGAAAAAATTTTAAAAATCATTTTTTTAAGTGGCAAACATTTGAATATTGGTAAGAAAGGTATAAAAGTTCTCATGTAAATTTAAAAAAGGTTAAAGTTTGTGGAGCCCTTCCCATAATTACTGAAAGTCTGTTACATTGGCAATGGACATAAATATTGCTAGATATCATGCACTGCACAGGAAATCTGAGTGTACAGTTGAAGTGAAGATAAGGGGAAATAATACTCAGTGGTTAGTTAGAATCCCTAAGAGGCTGGAAAAGTTTTGTCTGTCCTTGCGCTCTTCATCCAGACTCCTAAACAGTAATTCTGCATGACTTACATTCTACCTATCATCTATCTATCTATCTATCTATCTATCTATCTATCTATCTATCTATCATCTATCTATCAATCATCTATCTATGTCACTTTGAGAGAGAGAGAGAGAAACACTGATTTATCGTTCCACTTATTTCATGCATTCATTAGTTGCTTTTTGTATGTATCCTGACCTGGGCTATGGCACAGCCATGGTGTATTGGGACTGTGCTTTAACCTGGCCAAGGCCTGCATGACTTTCTGAGAGAGCAGCTGTCTGTATTTGTCTGGAATTTCTTCGGGAAGCCTGAACTATTTGTATGTTTCTGGAACACTCTGCCCTTGGAAACTACCCAGTACCTGGCATCATGGGAATTTACTTGGCTGTTTTTTTTTAGTATGTGTGTGCTGTAACTTTGGTGCTTCCTGGAATTCTCTTGGAAAGGCAGTATAAACCCCATGGTGATTGGAGAGAGCAAAGGAGTTTGCAAATATAGGGAGTATCAGCAAACACAGTGGTTTTAGTCCTGCTTCTCTGCAGTTTAAAATTTGCCTTGGCCCTCATAGGAACAACTTGCAGAGACTTGCCCAAACCCCCTGGGGTGTTTCTTTGGTCAGATAACTATCTTTTTTCTGTGCATACAAAATTCTGAAGTTGGTGTGGTTCTCAGTTGTGAAACAGAGAGGACCAGACGAACTTGAAAAATGTTTATTTTGGTGTCGAAGGGATGCAAGCTTGTATTTCAGTGGGTATACTGTATACAAATGTACTAAAGGTTGGAAGAAGTCTCCCTTTTTGCTAATTCCTGATAAGGACTAACAGAACTTGTCAGTGGCACAGAAATTTTTTGCAGAGAATTACTCCTTGTTATTTGTGGTCTTCTAAGGAACATATGAAACAAGATAATACATTTTTGTGTATTGGTGATTTCATATGGTTCAACCTTTTAGGAAAACCCTTTTTCCACTGGCACTTCACTTTCTCCACGCAATCTACTTATGATTTATCAATCTACCTATGAGTTAAAGCACTCTAAGTACTGAGTTTTGGGTTGAGTTATCTTTGCCACTTGGAAGGTATTTGGCTGCCTTCCTTTTTAAAATTTCTTTTTCATCTGTTATATAGCTTTACTATAAGCTAAAGAAAATTAAAAATAAAGTATTTTTGATTTTAAGCCAAATAAAATTAGGATGCCATATCTGCAACAGTTATTATTATTTAGTGAATTTTCACCATAATGCATTACTGAAGGACATACATTCAACATGTGTCCTTTAGTTCAGGCTGTATCCATTACAGGGAA